GCCATCTCCTTCCCTCATCCCTATTTTCCCTATTTGGAAGCTTTTATTCACACCCATAATGAATTCAGCCTCTGCTAAGCACAACCCCTTCTCTCCCCACGGCTGCGTCACACCAGGTACCCAGTACTCTTTCCCAAAGCTGATCTCATGTAATGCAGATATTGGGAATAAAGGGCACAAGAGCCATCATTTTTGAGGATTTTTTTCTTGAAGCCAAACAAAAAAACAAAATAAAACAAAAAAAAAACCAAAGGAAAACACAAAAAAACCCCCCAGCCTGCTCTATTTAGGATCACTGTTTATTTTGGCACTAAAGAGAAAACTCATTATAGGAGCAGAGAATTAAATTTTTAAAACTGGAATAAAATAATCTCTCCCAGAGAGAAAAATAATCCCCAAGTAAGGCTCTTCTCCCCTGTTCAGAACCCAAGCACACATGACAAGCTAAGATTGTCTTAATATACAGGCATCGCTCCAAGAATAAATGCCTTTATTATAGGTGGGAAAGGGGAGAAAAAGGGTGGATTTTTACTGTCCCATGTAGCAGGATATATCAGCCATTGCTCAAGGCTTAAATTCAAACTTAACCACATGAAACAACGAGCAGTTCAGGGCCTAAATAAGAGAGGGAGTACATTACCTGCCATGGAGGAGATGTGAAACAAGTAACACTTGTCCTCGGTGACACATATCTGGATCACAGCTGTTTTGGCCATCTTCCCTTTCATGTATGATGGTGGCCATTCAATGTCAAATCCAACAGCAGCCCCATCTGATAAACTCTGCCTGGAAAGGAACAGAAAACCCCTCACACTGATCTGCTGCTCTGTCAGAACACCAGCCTCAAGTCACCTTACACAAATGTGAGAGGTGCGCTGGCTGTGACTCCATTTCAAGCATCCAAGACACAGAAACCACGCCACAAACACAGACCACTCGAGGCTGATCCACACAAAAACCTGAAATGCTTCATAAGATCTGCAGAGCTTGCAAATACCAGCACATTATTTGTAAGCAACTGCAGGCTGTGGGTGCAGGGCAGGACAGGGAGAGGATGCTCAGCCATCACTGGCACGGGCAAAACAAAAACATCAAAATGAACTCATTCCCTACTTATTTTCCATTGTAATATGGGAAATTAATATTTCCCATATTACAATGGGAAATAAAACAAGCCTAAAACACCTTTCCCACACCATTCCCTTCCTCCCTGCCTTAGCTGAACTCCCAAAATTCCCACCTCTTCCCCCTCAGCACCACAAAAGGGACAGGGCCTTTGGCCCTCCCACTACTAAAACTTGGCCCCACAGGCCTCAACGACAGCCAGAGGCAAAAGATGATGGAATATTTTTTATTCCTTTGAAAGGTTCTTCCTGATTCACCCCATGATCCCTTGAAAGACAGCCCTTGATTTATTCCACAGCACTTCAAGTTTTGTACAAAACTTTTTCCCCCAGCAACATGGGCTGTGGCAAAAGGGAAAAAAGAACTATGTATTTGCACCAGGGATTTACTGCCTTTTCCTTAAACATCTGGTCTCAAGTCAGGAATTAACCCTTCTCCAGGAAGTCACTGAAGCTCATGGAATTATCCATACTATGAAAGGCAATCCATGTGCATTGGAGCCTTCACAGCTCCTGCTTTGAGGGACTGAAAGGTTCAACAATGGCCTCTCCCACCAACAAGGCCAAATGGGGAATTATTCCCAAGAGCCGAGTCCCTTCCAAAAAGAAAGGAGCACTCAAAGGAAAGAAAAAAAAAATGGAATATGAGGTGTTACCTGATATCTTCAGAGAGAAGAGAACAGTCACTGGCTTGGTAGCTATAAACAACAGAGCCACAGAACTCCAGGAATGGCAGCCCATCCTCCAGAACACTCCTCTGGGCACCAGGCTTCTGGCAAACAAAATTTGGCAGAGATCTGGTTATCCACCACACCTGTCCTCACCAGGAACATCCATCCCAGCCAGGCTCACACACCACTCGGCCCTTATCAAAACATTTGGGTTCCTGCCCCAACTTCTCTACTGAACTCTGAGCACTCAGTGAACAAAAAAATTAAAAGTTATTGTTGTTTTACCTGATGATTTCTAATATCCAAGCTACTAACCATTTACCAATCAACTAATCATTTACTCCCACTTTGTGGAAAAAAAAGCTGCTGAACAGAATCCTCTGCTTTTCCCCCTCATGAATTAATTTTCTAACTATTGAAGCTGTTTTAGGTGTTACAGGGATGGTCTCTTCTCATTTGGGACAGCAGGCATTTTTGTACTGAACTGCTCATACACACAGATAAAGCCCAAAAAACAAGGACACAGTAACACTTAAGGGACATCAAAACCCGACAAACAATTATTAACATCGACAATGAATTATTAACAATTAATTCAGCTGATGCATCTGAGCTGCAAACCATCCTGGAATACTTAACACGTGAAAGACACCAGAAGGGTCTTGCCAGAACCAGCTCCCCTGCCAGGCCACAACTGGAAGTCTCAAATTAAACGGATGAGAAATTCCCCATCCTTGCTGATGTAGAAGTCACACTCCTGGGTGAGCAGCAGGAACACCAAAATTCCCTTCTGAGAGGCAGAAGCCTAACTAAAAGCACATTCTCCAGAGCTGGATTATTCTGCAGCCTGCAAAGCACCCCAGAGCCATGACCTACCTTTTTGTGGCCCAAAGAAGTTTCCTCCTGACTCTCTGTAAGCATCCACTGAGGATACTTATCCTGCAGGCCAGCAGTTACCACATCCATTTTTGGCACATTTCTGTTGCTTCCATGTTAATAAAAAAAAAAGGAACAAGAAA